GAGCTCCCCTCAGGCCATGCCGCTGCTCTGCCTGCAAAATGCCCCCAGAATCCCCTGCTTCTCCCTTGGCATATGCCACCTGGGCTGCCTCAGCTGCCCCCTCACCCTGTCTTCTGGCTTCTGGCTGCAGGGAGGAGCCCCTCAGACTTTCCCAGCAGAGGATCCCCTTGGAGCTACAGGTAGACCACAGCCCCGCCTGCTGAAAACCTTCGGGGAGGAAAAGCTCAAGACCTCACGTGCGCCATGGCCCGGTGCTGCTACTTCTGTGCTCTCCCCTCCCTTACTCTGTTCCAGCCACTGGCGCCCCCAGATCCCACGCCCCGTGCCTCGTTGTCTCTCCTCCACACCTCTGGCCTGGCTGCCCCCTCCACCTGGGCCTCCCTTCACGTCCTCCCTCCTCCCGCCTGGCCCATCCACGTGGACCACTCTGACCCCACGCATCCTGCCTAACCTGCCCTGGCTTTTTCCTCCTGCCGTGCTGAATACTTCATGGCTCATGATGCTTCTCCCATTCTTCATAGACGCTTATTGTTGCGTGCCCCCTCCAGACTGTTGGCTCTCCTTGGCGGCTTCCCCAGCACCTGGCATAGGAGGGGCGTACAGTATTTGGGGAATGAATGCACAAAGGTGAGGCAAAGAGATGCTCACCTCCAGAGGGAACTCCAGTGTCAGGACAGGAGGGGAGGGCAGCCTTCCCTGAACCTGCCACAGGCCGCCCTCCGCCCCCCGCCCAGGACTGTGACACCTCCCAACCACAGAACCCAGAGTCCACAAACCCCAGCTATCATGGCACAGACTCTCCGCATCTAAGAATCATGTAATCAGAACAGCATAGAGCAGCACACCCCGCTCCCTCTTCCATGGGGATCAAACCATGCTTGCATTCCTCTAGTCACTGCCATGAACTCCTTATAGCTCTGGCCACGAGAAAGTTCTCATCTGGCCTGAGGCCCGCCCTCTGCTGGGCCTCCTAGGGCTGCCCCAAAGTCTCCTCAATGAGGCTCTGGAAGCCCCCAATGCCGCACCAAGCTCTGGGCACCGAGGAGCTCAGCCAGGATGGACGAGTGGACAAAAGAATGTGTGAGTGAATGGATGCCACATCCTGTCATGTTTGGTGGAAGAGCCAGGAGTTCAGGAACCAGAAGTGAGGGTTTGAGCCGGAAACCAGGGGACCCACCTGGGGCAAAGCCTCTCCCCAATGTGAGCCCATATAGGAGCACGGGGTGGGGTGCACAGGCCAAGCCAGCAGAATGGCCCCAGCTGTGGCCCAGCCCCAGCAGCTCAGGCAAAGGACTTCTGGAGCTGCAGACCCCTGGAAAGGTGTCCCCAGGTGTCCTGCTCACAAGTGCCAGCCCTGGCCCCCCACTGGCTCAGTCCTGGAAGGACTACTCTCAGGCCTTGAGGTGGATGGGCTGGCCACCCACAGGACACCAGAAGCCCCAGGAAGGCCACCTGTGTCCAGCATCTGGAGGGTCCCAGTCCTGCCCCGCCAGCCACTGGCCTCTGCCTGCAGGCAAGTAAGCAGACCCCTGATGCTGGACCTCCTCAGCCAGCATCTGGGCTGCTTCCCTGCAAGGCCGTGAGGGCTTTCTTTTCTACATCGTCCCAGATGGCTGTAGCATTCCAGCTACGTCCAGAAAGGCGCAAGGCCCAGATCATAAGGCGAAGGGCCAGGCGGGGGAGCTGGCCAGGCAGCTTGGGCCGGGGTGCGGCTCATCCCTGGGATCCTGGGAGCAGTGCTTGCCTGGGGCAGGCCATCCATGAGCCCTGGGCCCCGGTGACTTCGCCAACCACCTGCCCACCCCCCAGGCCTCTGCTGGGCACTGTGATGACTGCCAAGCCTGCAGCCCTCTCGGGCGTCCTGGACCCACAAGGGCCTGGGACTCACAGGCCAGACTGCTGAGTCCCTGGGCCCTGCAAGGCCAAGGACATGATGGGTGGGCAGGTGGCATCCCGAGAAGGAAGGTGGGCGCTGCTCAGACCCAGAGGAGGGAAAGGGGCCAGGCCAGCAGTAGGCGAGCTCCAGGCTGCCATCCAGCTGAACTTCCTGGCTCCTGGCAGCCCTGTTCCAGGCTGCTGCTCCACTCCAGGGAACTCACACTTGTCCGGTTTGCCCAAGCGCAAGGAGCTCCAGCCTCCACTCGCTTCCCTTCCCCAGCCCCCCCCCCCGCCTCCCTGCTGTGGGATTTGTGAAGTTCACCCAGATGTCTAACCCAGACCTGCCTGCTGCCTTCAACCTGCCCTTTCCTGTTCCCTCCTCGGTGAAGAGAGCATTGCTATTGCCTCCTCCCCAGGACTTGCCTCAACCATTCCCTTCCCGTTTGCCTCTATACACCCTCGGGCGAGATCTCAGGGCCTCAGTTTCCCCTCGTGGGAGGAGGTATGTGAGTAGGGTAGAAGGAAGACCCTAGAGGACAGGAGTTCAAATCCTGATTCTGACTCTGGGCTGTGTGACCTTGGGCAGACCACTTTGTTCTCTATGCCTGGGTTTTCCCATCTGCAAAGTAGAGCCAGCGCTGACCCATGTAGGGAAGGGGTGTTATGAATACTTGTGAACCAGACCCTGTGTCTACAATGACAGGTGGTGGTGGGGTGTTCTGTGTTCCATGGAACCTCTCACCTTTCAGGCCCCTGGGCCGGCCAGGGTGCAAGGACAATCAGCAGTGACACCCATCTCTGTCAAGGTAAAAGCTGGTGTGTGTGTGTGTGGTGGGGGGCAGGGGAAGGGGGTGAAGGAGAGAGCAGGACCCCAGCAAGCTTGCTGGGAAGGTGAGTACTATGGGCAGGAGGGGTGTGGGCAAGGGAGATGGTAGCAGAAAGGCCTTCCTGCCTGAGGGCACTGCTGGAGCAGACGCTGGGCGGGGCAGGGGCCGGGTGAGCAGGGTGGGGGCTCAGGGCAGGGTCCAGGTGAGCAGGGTGCAGATGGGCTGCAGGAAATGAAGAGGATGAGGAGGGACTCTGAAGGCCACACCAAGGAATGAACTTCTAGCTTCCGGGGCCACAGGACCCCGTGAGCTCTGACCACAGACAGCAGCACTGGGTTTACAACCAGGGCAGCCTTGGGGAGGGGGCGGCAGGTTGGGGGAGATGGTCCTGGTGCTAAAGCTCAGCTCGTGAGCAAAGTGTGGGCAGGCCACGCAGAAAGAGGGAGGCAGGCCTGGCGGGCGCCGCTTGCTCCCCTAGACCCGCTCCAGAGAGGAAGCACCTGCCCAAAGCCACCTCTGGGCTGTCAGGCTGTCTCAGGGCAGGAGAGCCAAGTGCAGAGCCAGGGCCCTGGAGGTCAAGGCCAGGCGTGAGCCACCAGGGCCCAGCTCAGAGGAGGCCTAGCCTCCAGCGCCGCGGAACAAGCAGGCGAGCGAGAAGCGGACGGATGGGTGGTCGTCTCCCACAGGCGGCCCCTGCCCGCTGCCTGCCTCCTGGAGCACCGCGGGCAGGCGAGTCTGGAGAAGGAGCATCCCTGGCAAAGGTGGAAAGGCAGGGCGGCGCCTGGCATGCCGGGGGCGGGGGAGCAGCTCGGGGCAGGGCGGCCAGAGCCGAGGGGGGTGGGTGCCCGGGTGGGAATGAGCCACTTGGGGGGTGGAGGCTCCCGGGGATGCTCCTGAAATCTTAGCCTCAGAGGCGGAGCCCAGGGCGGGGGGTCAGGTGGGCCCCCAGGCAGGCTGGGCGGTGTGGGCTCCACGCCTCGGGCAGGGCCCCTCGGAGGATGTGCCGGGCGGCCCTGGGAGGCCGGGGCCGGGGTTGAACCATGGCCAAGAGGTAAGTACAGTCTGGGCACCGGGGCCATGGCATTCTTGGAGCTCCTTCCTCATTCCTGGCCCGTGGGAGTAGCTGGACCCCGGCGTCCCGCTGCAGCCACCACCGCGGATTTGCTTACCGTCTCGCAGGGAACCGGGGCCTCCTGCCAAATGGCCCAACCCAGGCCTGGGCCCCACAGGCCCCACTAACCACCAAGTGCTGGCCCAGGCCACCTCCTGCTCTCAGAGAGGGAAACTGAGGCCAGATATTTGGTAGGGCCACCCCAGATTTTGTCCAGGCCTGAGTGTAAGACGGGATGGGCCTGGACTCCAACGTCAGGACTTTTTGCATCCGTCTCCCCATCTCCACACCCTACAGGGACACATCCTCCTCCAAAAGCCCACCTGGTGGCCCCTCCAGCAGGATCTGGGTCCGGGGCCAGGCTCCGTGGGTGCCCCGGCGGGCACAGTGTGGACAGGGGCTTGTTTGATCAGCACCCGATGCCAGGCTGCCGGGACAGCGGGCAGTGGCCAAACCGGCCCCGCCACATGCCTTCCGGCCCTCAGCAGGAATGCCATTCATCCTCCTGTGCTCACACGGTTACCACAAGTGCGGAGGGCTGGTGGCACCCGGGCCTCTAGGGAGAAGCAGCAAGGCCTGATGGACAGCCGGAGGCTGCCCGGCTCCCAGGGGCCTCGGGCTGCCTTCCCACGCCTGGAGAGGGCCAGGGGCACCCCAAGGGGGGCACCTGGGCAAAAGCCCACCAGACCCACAGGGATCTGGAGACCAGCTGGGGTCAGAAGCAGAAGAGAGACACAGAAGGTGACGGATGGGACCAGAGCCTCCTGGCTGCGGGTCCTCCCCGCCAAGGCCCTGTTCTCCTAAGAACAGGCCCCACCCAGCCCCATGAGCTGGCTCTGGCACCACAGCCATGGCCTCCTGTCCCCATGCCCTGAGCCCAGCCTGTCCAGAGAGCCCTCAGGGTGTGCGTCCAGCCACCACCAGTGGCCCTTGCTGGGTGTGGTGGCCCTAAAGGTGCCTGGACACTTGTATGACTCAAGGCATCACTTGGGACCTGGGCGAGGTGTGAGGACGGAGGTCCATGCGCATGGTGCCTGCATAGCCTGCAGGAGGTAGGGAAGGCAGGGGGCTGGGGGGCCAAGGGGGCTTGGGGCTCAGGGCTCGTCCTCACTGCACAGCACCAACATCCCCACCCCCAGAGGGAAGAACCGCAGGGGCGTCGCGCAGGCTCCACACACACTCGCTTCTGATTCCAGCTTTATTGGAGCCGGGCACTCCCCTCCAGGGAAGGCGGGACACAGCGCATCGGAAACCCCCCAGCTCTCCCGGGGTGGGAGCGCTCCAGGGACACGCAGTGTCCCGACCGCCGCCGGCCCACCCGGGCAGCGCTGACCCCCCCTTCGCCCAAGGGAAGAAGGAGGAGGGTCTCGGCGGAGGCGCCTGGACAGTGCGCTTGATTCGATGGCATCAGGGGCCCCAAGAGTCCGTTTCAAGCAGAAGGAGGAGCCTGGCTCGGGGGACCGCACGGGGCTGTCCCCTCCCTCCAGTACCCAGTGTAGGTCACAATAATTTAAAAGACACGATAGACACTTCAACGCTATATAACAATATAAGTTAACCAGGTTCCTTAGCAGAGGGTACCGGGCCTGTGGACTCGGGAGTGTCCGGGGACCCGGGGACGCGGGGCCGGGGGCGGGACCTTCACGGTGGCCTGGAAGTGCCTGGAACAGCAGCTGGTGGAGCATCCTGGCATCATCGGGGGCACGCGGGGTAGATGCCAGGGCCAGGGCCCAGATGGTATCACTCACCCCAGGCTAAAGTCTAGCCCACCTGGCTTGTCAGCTGCCTGAGGACACATTTCCACAGGTTTCTGCAAGAAAATACCCGAAATGCAGGGCGGGGTGGGAGGGGCCCACAAGCAGTGGAAGGCACACCAGAAGCCGGTGGCACATCATCCTTGCTGGCAAGTCACCTCCTTATGCCTCAGACTCCCCAAGGGAGGGTGGGGATGTTCTCAGGGGGGTGGTGTTCACCTGGGGGAGGTGCCTGGGGGGCAGACACCTGCTGGGACAGCAGGCGGGGCCCTGGCCGAGTGACACCCTGGATCCAGCCTTCTCAGCACTAGAGTCAGGGCCAAAGGAACAGGCCTGGACAGGGAGGCCACTAGAGAAACCCCGGCAGGCGCCTCTGGGGGTGCAGGCTCCCCGTGCAGCTGGCAGCAGGGGAGGAGGGGCACAGCCAGATTCTTCAAAACATGGGCACAGTCTCACACCACCATGGGTGTCCCCAGAGCATGTCTTCCAGGGTCAGGAGCCCTGGCCAGGAGGTCAGGATGTCTGAGCCAAGGCAGGAGCCTCTGCTCATAACTTCGGGGTCTCTGGCTGAATCTCGAGCCATCCCAGGCCTTGGTGCGGGTGGACACCCACCCCTGAGCCGCCCCCACTGACAGCCCACTGTCAGCACAGAGCTGTCCTAGGGCTCTGGCTGGCTCCGGGCTGGGAGTGGGCTCTGTAAACTGAGGGCACCAGGCTGGCGGGGGTGCGGGGAGGGTGACAGCCTTAGGAGACAGGGCACTCCTGGAACCTGACGTGGGTGACATTTGGATTTGATAGGGTTTTCAGAAAGAAGAGTCCCTGTCCATGGCTCTCCTCGGAGGCCCTCTCAGGGGCAGGGCCAGAGGGTGCTGTGCACAGGGCTGCTCCCTCGGGTCAGACGCAGGGACAGGAAGCAGAGGACCACGGGGTGCACTAACACGGAGTACAGTCAGGACTGGCTATGCCTTAGTGCTAAGAATTATTTTCCGATACTAAGAGAACATAAATAAACCTTGTCAACATCCTCCCAGACCACCCGAGTCCCGGCGGCTGCCACGGCCGGAGAAACAGTCCCGCGTGGGGTCGGCTGGCTTGGCATTTCCAGGTCCCTCGGGCCGTTGGTGCCACCAGGTGGGGGATGGGGATGCTCGGAGTCTCGCCACTTGGCTTTCCAGGAGGGTTCACTTCCCCGGAGAAAAGAACAGAACTCACTGGGCCCCAAAGGACAGCAGTGCCATCGGCGTCGCCCTCTCGGCTGGCCGGGTCTCGGGGACAGCTCTGCCTGGGGAAGCGACGATGAGAAAGAAGGGTGGGAGGGAGCCCCGGGGGGCGGGGGGCCAGCGAGGGGGCACCCTGAGCGGTGTGCCGAGCCGAGCAGGGCGCTCACTTGCAGGTGAAGACCTCGGTGCGCTCGCTGCAGGTGTTACACTTGACGAAGCAGCACCAGTGGAACTTGCAGTTGCACTGCCACACCTTGGTGTACTGGTGCGTGTTGTAGCCTCGGCCGCAGCACATGGTGTCACAGCCATCCGCGCCCGGCGACGTGCGGTTGCACAGGCGGCCCTGCGTGCCCACGCTGCCCGTGGCCGCGTCCTCCTCGCAGTAGTTGGGCGACTTCTCGATGTACACCAGGTCCGTCTCCATGGGCTTCTGGTAGCTGCGCAGCTGCTTGATGCGCAGGAAGGTGGGCTGCCGCAGGCGGCTGGCCCGCACCACCTCCACCTGCACCGCCGCGTTGTACTTCTCCTTGAGCATGTGGCCCACCTCGCGGAACTTGGGCAGCGTGGTCCAGCACGTCTTGGTGGTGCACGAGCCTGACACGCCATGGCACTTGCACTCCAGCTTCATGCGCTCCTCCAGGACCTGCGGGCGGCAGGGTTCAGGGTGTGCAGACCCCCATCTCCCACCTGGATGCCCCACTCCCATCCCTCCAGGACCTGCGGGCAGCAGGGTTCAGGGTGTGCAGACCCCCCATCTGGGTGCCCCACCCCTACCTCTCCAGGACCTGCAGGGACAGGGCAGGAGCTCAGGGTGCCTGGGCGGCCCCCACCTGCCCTAGCCTCCACCTGGCCCGGAGCTGGCTCCCCGACTTCCAGCTGCCAGGCCACACTGAGTGCCTCCCCTTCCTGAGCCTCCGTCTCCTCCGTGTAACAAGGCTGCTGACCACAGGTCCCTACTGCAGAGGACCCTGTGAGGGTCCGGTGAGAATGTCCAGAACTTGGCAGATCACAGCACATGTTTACCAAACCTGGTTCACTAAATTCTCAGAACCCTTCCCGTCGATGCACTGAAGGGGAGGCTGAGGCTGGGGAGCCCCGGCGTGCTGCAGCTCACAGGGCAGCACATGGCGAAGCTGGTGCTGCACCAGCCAGGTGGGGAGGAGGGGCCGGACGGTGATCCAGGCCTGGCAACAGTGGGTGCTTACTAATTGCAGATCTCCTCCTCTCCATATCTGTACCCCCTGCCCTCGTGCCTGGGGTGGGGCCTGGCATGTAGCTGGTGCTTAATAAATGGCTCTTCAGTGAAACCCTGGGGTTTGCACGGAGCTCTGTGCGTGTCTGCAGAAGGACAGAGGGGGTGGACGAGCAGGGGCTGAGGGCACGGGTCAGCGAGGCCCAGGTGTGCCACCTGCTGGGAAGCCGGCCCCCGACACTGTTGTTCTTTCTCCCCAGCTCCCCGAGGGCCCGCCATGGGTGCAGCCGAGTGTTTTCCTTGGGCCTCCCTCCATGCTCCCGGAAGGCCGATTCCCAGAGCCAGCCCTGACCCCAGGTACTCATTTACCTGGATCGAAAGAGCCCTGCCAGCCAGTCTGATTAAAGATGGGGAATCATTAGCTGCCGCCCCACGGCTGCGGAAGGGCCATTTGTCAGCTGTCCGGGCTCCGCTGGCCTCACTTGGGGTGTCCAGCCCTGGGGGATCTCGGCCACCCCCTGCCCCCTGGGCCAGAACCCCAGCTCAGCCCGGACTAGCAGCCCCACAATGAATGAATGGATGAAGAGTGAATGAATGAAAGGAACCTCCCCCTGGCCGCGTGGGGCTCTGGTCCTCAGCAAGGACCTCGGGGACCCACAGCCTAGCACGGGGAACAGAAGGGGAAGCCCATGCACACCAGCAAGTGTGGGGGCCCTGGGGGTCGCCCCTGCCATGGGATGGGGGCTTCCTGGAAGAGGGGTGCCTGCATGGGGTGTGGATGGAGAAGGTGGAGTTCATGAGGCAGAGAGGAGGGTGTTCCCGGAGGGTCCAGGGCAAGCAAGGTCTGCAGAGGACAGGTGCAGCCCACCTGAGCATCATGTGGGTGCTGGTGGGCTCAGTCGGGTGTCCTGGATGTGGGGGCTGGCTGGGATTCTCTGCTCCAGCGTCCTGTAGGTGATGTCCTGGGGCAGGTGGGGAGACCCGGGAGGCTGGGATGGGGATGGGGAGGAGGAGGGGGAGGCTGGTGGCCCACCAGGGGAGGGCCGAGCTGGGGAGGGCCCCAGCACCCCTAGGAAGGAACATTCCGAGCTGGAATTACAGGGGTGTCTGGGTGGGGAGCATGGACCAGAAGCCCACTCTGGGGTGGGGGGGTCTAGGTGAAGGGTGGGGCCTCCCTCCAAGGGAAAGCCTCCTGCCGCTCTCCCCGCAGTCCTGTCCATCAGGGTCAGACCTCTCTTGCTCCTCCCTCCCCCGTACCCCACGTTCATTTTGCTTCACCCTCCCCCATCGCCAGCAAGACCCTCCCCCACCAACAGCCCCTTCAGGAAGCTTCTCTCGCCCCGGCCACACTGCCTGCCTTGCCCACCCCTCAGGCCGAGAGCTAACCAGAGGGATGCCCCTCTCAGAGTCCCCACGTGGGGACAGAGCACCCTACCCCAGGCTGCTGGCTCAGACGGGCCATGATGGCCTGAGACCCGCCTGGGCTGTCCAGGCCGGGTGGTCCCCGCGCCCCCACCACCTGCCTCCTGCCCACCCACCCAGGCACAACCAGACCCCGCACAGCCAGGCCCGGGACAGCCGGCAGGTGAAGCCGATTGGGCAGCTGTCTGCAGAGCAAGGAGCCGCATCCTCGCTTGGCTGGGTCCCCCTGGGCCTGAGCCTCTCCTGGGAAGTGATCACAGGATTCAAGAATGTGCCGTTTCCGTCTCCAGCGCCCTCGAGATAAGAGTGACAGCAATGGTGGCGCCAGCCCTGCTGCCCCAGGAGACCACCTGGGAGGGTGCAGAGTGACCCGGCCTCGCCCAGAGGAGTGGGGCCTTCGTTTCCCCCCGACCCAGGTCGTGTGGGGGTGGGATGGGGCCTCCAGGGAAAGGCCAACCTGGCGTTCTTTCTGGAATAAGAACGTGGTCCGTGCCCTGAGAACAGTGCTCAGTTGCCGGCCAGGCTGGGGGGTCACGGCATCCTGGCACCCACAGAGGGCACTTCACACCCCACTCGGGCAGCAGCCTCGGGCCACGGAGGGTGGTGGTGCACACCCTGTGCCATGGCCCGCCTCACACCCTTATTTCTGGGTGGTAGCCTGGCCCTCCATGGGTGTGTGGGGCCCTGGGGGGTGAGGCCCACGCTGGCTCAACCCTCTCACCCCGGCCGCAGTGTGAGATGGGAGTGGGCATCAGGTGAAGCACCCGGGCCGTGGGGGCCCAGGGGGCCAGCGGCTTCTTAGCTGAGGACTTTGCACAAGTGACCCCTCCTCGGACCCTGGGTGCTCACTGGGACAATGGGGATGATGTGCTCCCTAGGGCAGGACCAGGCTGGAGACTAGATATCAGGTGGGGCCTGTGCCCACCTGACGGGGGTCCTGCCCTAGCTCCCGATGCTCGGGGCCCACATCAGCGACGGTTTGAGACCTCCATCCCCCGCAAGAGGAGCCCAGAGCCATGTCAACCACAGCCCAGGCCTTCCCAGCTGGGCAGGCTCCTGCCTTACGGGGTTGGTCCATAGGAAGATCTGCTCAGACGTCGTCTCCTTCCGTGCCTGCTGCTCTCGCCCCTCCACTCAGGCCCACACAGCAGGACAGCAGCTCCGTAAAGGCCACGCTGCCCACAGCAGGGCTGGCCAGCAAGGCCAAGGCCTCGATCTCTCAGAAGCCGGTGTGAGCGGGTCTCCTGCTCAGCCCATCTGACCCTGGCCCACCGGGCATGTGGTGGGCTGAACAGTGTCTCCCCATTCGGAACCTCAGGATGTGACCTCATCTGAAAATAGGTCTTTGCAGGAGTATCTGAGGCTCGAGATGAGGTCATCCTGGGCCCCAGGGTGTCCTAACCCCAAGGACACATGTCCTTGTGAGGAACAGAGGAGAAATCACTCAGAAGTGGAGACCTTGTACAGGTGGAGGCAGACAGGATGCTGAGGCCACACACAAGCCGGGGAGCCCCTGGAGCCCCCATGAGGCCGGCAGGGTGCTTCCCTGGAGCATCAGAGGGAGCCCGGCCCTGCTGACACCTGGATCTAGGGCTTCTGGCCCCAGAGCTATGAGAATAAATCTCTGGGGCTTTGAGCCATCCAGGCTGTGAGACTTCCTGTGGCACCAGGGGGCTGGCTTCCCACTCAACTTACTGAACTCTGGGATCCTGGAGGGGCAGGGGGGCCTGGACCAACTATGATAGGGACCAGGGCTCCCAGCACCCAGGTGCCTGGTGAGGATCTGGACTCAGTTCTTCCAGAAACCTCAAAAGCCGGGCCCTCCAGCCCACACCAACCACCATGATCAGTGCCTTTGGGGGCAGAAGGACCCCTGCCCCCCAGGGTCACTGCTGCCACCACCAGTGGTCCCTGCCAAGGCCTCAGGCCACATGTGTGCCCCAGGACTCTGGGGGGACAGCGGGGGGCTGTTGGAGGACAGGGGGTGGGGGGGTGCAAGGTACATCACTATGCACATGAGCGAGGAGGCTCGGAATGGGCCTCGCAGACAGGGGCAGTGCCAGCACCAGAATCCCATCCTCAGACCCGGGTACAGCCCTTCCCTACAGCCCCCTGCCCTGATGGGCCCTGACCCCCTCCCCGGCTGCTCCCCTACTCGCTATCTCACTTTACAGCGTCTCGGTTCAAAACTTGACGTGCTACACTGTATGTTGGCAAATCGAACTTAAATAAAAACAAATGTAAAAAATAAATTAATTTTTAAAAAAAGAAACGCCCACGTGCTGATCCTGCTACACTCAGGCCCCCCAGCCCTCAAGCCGCTAGCGAGCGTCACTGCCTCGGGGACCTGCCATGACACCTGTCGCCCAGAGGCCCATCCAGCGCGCCAGCCTCCCCGCCTGCCCACCCACCCTGAGCTGGGCCAGAGGCCTCCCTGCACGACACATGTGACCTGAGGCCCTGCCCACAGCCCTGCCCCTGCTGCGCTGGTCCCCCCGCCGCTCACAGGGTCCCTCCCCACATCTCTGTTGCCCACGGGACGCTCCCCCACCAATGCCTCCAGGAGCTCAGGCCTCTGGGGGCCTCTCCTGTGAAAGGGAGACCGTGAGCCCCACCCCCCCGGGACCTCAGCCGCCACAGAGGCTCAAAGGCAGTGGTTCCGTCCAGGGCCTCGGCGCACCTCCTCCTCCAGGGAGCCTTCCCCACACCTCTGGGGAAATGAGCCTCGCCTACACGCGGTGTGTGAGCCCCTTGGAGGCTGCGTCAGGCCTTCCTTTACTCGTCCGCCATCCACTCCTTCCTTCGGCAAGAGTTTAATAACCACTGACTGCTCTGCATCCAGAGGATGAAGTCGATGCCCTGGCCTGGCGTTCAAGGCCCGCTCAGGGCCAGCCTGTGCGGACCCCTTAAGCAGCCCGCCCCGGCTCCAAGGGCCGACTCCCTCGGCCTGTGCTCCTGTCGGCGCCCGCTCATCCTTCGAGGCTCTGCGCCGACAGCAGCACCCCAGAACCCCTGCTCCCTCCCTGGGGTCTCCAGCCCCCGCCCATCATGGGTGCGGCCCAGCAGGTGCTCCCACCGGGGCTCCCAGCCCAGCCAACACCTGGTACAACCCGGGCCCCAGGAGCATTTGTCGAGTGACCGAGTGAGCATCTGGTGGCCTCGGCTTGGGTCCCCGGGGCAGAGGGCAGGCAGGAGTGTCCCCCGCCTGCAGAGACCCACAGGCCCTGGGGTCGTGGGCGCGGCCCCCGGGCTGGGGAGCCAGGCCCGGAGAGGCGTTCCGCTCGGCTGGCGCCCTATCTCGGGCCATCTTGCCGCCACGGCGGCCGCGCCTCCCCGCCCAGTATCTGGGGCCCTCATCTCCCCGAGGCGGGGCTGGGCTCGCCCCGACATCTGCCCCAGTGCGGCGCTGCCCCACCCCCCAGGGGACGCTGGCTGCTCCTTGGGAACCCCCCGGCCGGCACTTCCCACCCCACTGAGAATACCCCTTCCTCCAGTCCATCAGCGCACTCGGAGCCAGAGGCCGCCTCCTCCAGGAAGCTTTCCGGGCCTGCTGGTACAACCCGTCTGCTCCCAGGGCGGGGACACGTGGCCCCGGGGGCCTTCCCCACACCCCACACCCGCTCTTGGTCTCAGCCCTGCGGCCCAGCTTCTGGGGGCCGCGTGCGTGTCACCTCCCTGCTCCCAGCCTCTGGAGTGGGAAGGGTCAGGCCAGGTCCTAGGGCTGCCGGGAGCGTCAGAGGGACACCGTGCCCAGCGCCCCCACACATCTCTGGGGTCCAGGCCCCCAGGGAGCCCTGGGAGAGGCTCCAGGCGGGGAGAGAGCCCAGGCCAGGCCACCCCCCCACCACGCCCTGCGCCCCGCGTCCTGCGGCCCGCATCCCGCGCCCCGCGCCCCGCGCCCACCCTACCTTCCTGCCGGCCTCGTTGTTGTGCAGGTTCATGAGGCGCCGCGCGTTCTTCTTGATCTCACGGGCGTCCACGAAGCGCCGGGAGAAGTCGATGCCGTAGCGCACGTCGGCGGAGCAGCCACCCCACTTCCAGCCCTCGGCCTGGTTGTAGTAGCCTTGCTTCTCGCGGTCACAGCCGCAGTTGCTCAGGTTACCCTGGCTGCAAGCGGCCGTCACGGCGTGGGCCACCCCGGCCGCGGTGATGGCATAGGTGAAGGCCGCCTCGCGGCTCCCTGCGGGGCAGAGGGGGCGCCGTCAGGCCCTGTGGTGGGACCCCGGCCTCGCCGCTGGCCCTCCCTGAGCCGCTGGCGCCCCAACGCGGGGCCCACGGATGCGGATGCTGGCCGATGGGCAGCGGTGAGGACGCTGCCTGCTGTGTACAGAGGGCGCTCACCGCACACGGCTGGAGAGGCGCAGTGCCCCCAACCCTGGGAGGGGGCAGGTGGGTGTGTGCCCTGTTCCTCCCACCCCTTGCCCCTCTGCCCTCTGCTCCCCTGCCCCTTACTTTACTCCCCCCGCCCTCTGCCCCCAGCCCCCAGCCCCCTGCTCCTCTGCCCCCTGCCCCCCTGTCCTCTGCCCCCCTGACTCCTGCTCCCTTGCCCCTGCCAGCCTCCGGGCACTGCCCCGCGGGAACAGCCTCTTGTGCTCATCTCCGCAGGGCACTCACCCACCTGCCCTGAATCAGCAGAACCAGCAGAACCCACGCCGCTCAGAACACCCCAACTCCAGGCTCTTTGCTGCGGCCTCCCAGTGTCTGACCACCACCCACTGTCACCCTGTCATCACCAGGCCCCAGCTGTCACGGAAGGTGACATTAGGCCTTAGGAGAGGGGGTTTCACGGTCCCTGCACTCTGCACACACACCTCATGTCCTCCTCTCCTCCAGCACCCCTGCCCAGTGCAGAGGCCCCCCCGCCAGCTGCCTAGAGACTTGGGCACTAGTCCTCCCCGGCTCCCTCATGCTCCATCCCCAGCCAGGGGGTGCAGAGCACAGGTGGGCACCTGAGCTGGGGAGGGAAGGCCCTCAGTCCCCCGCCCAGCTGCCTTTCCCTCCCTCTCTTCCCATCCTCTGCTCCCAACAGCCACCCTTCCCTTCTGGTGCTGCTCCTGCGCTCCTGGGGGGTCTCGTGGTCTTCATAATGGAACTTCCTTCCCTTCCCAAATCCTACGAGCTTCCAAGTCTGGTTCAATGCCTCCTCTTCCAGGCAGGCTTTGCAGACTGCCAACCCTGGCTGGCCCCCTCCCTCAGTCACAGATCTGACTCTTGCTGCGAGTGATGCTGCCCACCCCAATACCCCGCTGCTCAGCCCTCCTGGCTCCATGGGGGCCCCTGGCCTCCTAGGTGGATGGGTCCAGGGCTGATTCTCCTGGGCACCCCCTCACCCCAGCCTGGCCTCTCTTGCCCACAATCCCCGAGGTTCCTGGCAGGCCACAGTCAGGTCTGAGTGGTCCTCAGCAGGTGGCACTGTGGGCATGGAGCTCAGTGATGTCCCTGTGATGGGACAGACCCCACACCTGTGACCTGGAGGCCCCAACACGCCGCCCAGTGTGGCTGGCTGCTGTCCCTGTTACTGGGGCTAGAGTGATCGCCCCAGACTGAGAGAGGGCTGAAGGTCAAACCATATCCCTTCCATGAGCATCCATGAGGCACCACCTGCATGCCTGCTGGGAGTGGCCTTAGTGTATGCTCTGGGGTCCACTTGCTCACCTGCCAGTCTGCTGGGGGAACTCACCCACAACCTCCCGTTCCACTGGGGGGCTCTCCCTCTGTCCCTGGGGGGCTCTCCCTCCTGGACTGAGGACCAGGGTAGGACTTGCTGGTCTCGGAGGCCAGTGTAGAGGAGGCTTTGGTTGACCTCCGCCGCCAGGAAAGGCCCCAGCCTCCTGGAAACGTCCCTCCTCTGACAAGAGCTCAGGGAGTCTGGTGTCAGGCGTTCCTTCTGCCCCAGCAAGACCGGGCTCTGCAAAGGACACAGGCCGCCATGGCCTCCTGCCCAGCCTCGCCTCCTCTCTGGGCCCTGCCCGCACCTGCCCCCTGCCCCGCCTGGGGTCAGTGCACAGCCACCCGGCACCTGCCAGCCGATGGCCTGGGGCTCAGCTCTGGGAGAAACCTCTCAGGTACAGTTGCCCCTTGGGGAGGGGGCACCAACCTCTGCACGGTCGGGCCGGTTGGGGGCTTCCAGGCAGACATAGGGTTAAAGACAGGGACAATCTGGGGCTCGTCCTCCCCAGCTCTAGATTAGGCCAAGGCGATCTGAAGGGAAGGGCTTCGGGCTATAGAGCTCCCTGCTGTTGGTGTTGCTCAAGCCCAGCGGGGCCTGCCAACACGGGCGCATGAGGCATACAGGCCAGGAGGGCATGCGGTCAACTATGTCGGGGGATCCAGGAAAGGAGGTGACCACAGGGCTCTGCGAGAAGGGGCGCAGGGGCCATGGAACCTCAAAGGATGTCCCCAGCTGCCTCTAGGAGGGGGCTAGTCAGGGAAGGCTTTCTGGAAGGGATGACACCTTAAGTAAAGTGAGTCTTCACAGGAAGTTAGAGTTAACTCCCTGGGAGTGTGTATGAGTGCGTGTGTGGTGTATGTGAGCATGTGTGCATGTGGCATGTGTATGGGGACTGTCCACATGGCGTGTGGCTGTGGGCAGTGGGTGCGTGCCCTCCTGGCGGTGGGCATGGCAGGAGCAAAGGTGCAGGTGTGAAACAGTTTGCTGATCTGGTTCCAGAGCGATGAGCTCGAGAGTAATAAGGAAAGAGGCCGCCGAGATCTGGGGGTCAGGGTCAGTGTCGTGGGCGGCCAGAGACATCCCCTGAAGGAGATGGTACTTTCTGTCCAGCGTGGCCTCTCTGCAGCGAAGCGACTTTGGGCAGAAGAGACAGGAGAAGAGAGGCGAACAGGCGCCCCTGGGGAGGAGATGCGCATTTGGACAACCTGTGGACCTTGGGGCTCAGCGACCCGCTGGCAGGTGGATGCGGGCCTCACAGAGGGCAGGTCACAAGCTTGGGGCCCAAGAGGTGGGGTGGAAACCTCAAAGGTTGTGCAATCACACCAAGAGGCCTGGCCAATGGAGCCACAAGTCCTAAGACCCACAGCTAGGACGCTGTGGGCGTTCCCTCCGAGGCGCTGGACCTGCCACCCAACCTGCCTCTGCCCCAAACTCCCACGTCCTGCTGTCCCGAAGCCCCCGGGCAGGCAGGCAGGGAGGCACAGTGCCCCCGCCCGTGCGCTAGGAGGATGTTTCTCGAAAGCCGCCCTTGCACCCTCTGTGCGAGTTCCTGGCGTCCCCCGGCTTGTACGCATGCCCGGCACAGACTCCGGGTTACTCATCAGTTACTCACAGGGCTGCCACTCCTACTAATTCCTTTTTTATTTGGTTTTAATGAGCCAAACCCTCTCTCTCGCCGTGAAGACAAAGGCGGAGGTGATCGGGGAGCCAGGGGTAGTTTGCCGAGAATCACGGAAGGTGACGTTAGGCCTTAGGACAGGGGGTTTCACGGTCCCTGCACTCTCCACACACACCTCATGTCCTTCACACGACAGCCCCCTGGGGTGGGGGCCACTGAGCCCTTCTGCAGACCTGGATGCAGGCTCGCAGCCTGTGCCGGTTTGGGGGCCTGGGGACCGTCCCCTCCCACAGTCCTGCCTGGGGCCTCCTGGCCAGCCCCAGGGGCGCCGCCTGGCATCCTCCTCCAGAGGAGAACAAGTGGGCGCTGGGTTTAGGAAAAGCCCCTCCAACCTGTGGTCCTTGCTCAGCGACCGCTGGTGGTTCCAAGCCTCTGAGGTGACCTCAAGCCCCCTGAAGCCTGGCCCCACCCATCCCCACTTACCCCACCCCCTGCAGCCTAGCTGGGCCAGGCCCCCCCAGGGGGCAGATACAGCTGCCCACAGCACACGCCACTGTGCCTGAGTGCAGGAGGCCCCCCTGAGGTGGACGCTGGCCCGCCGCTACCCGGAACACCTGCCCAGGTCCACGTGTCTACACCACCCCGCGCTCTGGACGCAGCAGGGACGCACCTGCTCCCGGGAGCCCCGTCAGCGTGAGGCACCCTCCTCTGGCCGCTTGCCAGGCCCTTGCCCTCAGGCTGTAGGTGTGGTGGGCAGGACCCATGTCTGATTACTTTGCGTGCCCCCCACATTGTCCGCAAGTCCCGCACTCAGACAGGTCAGGGGCTGGGCGCTTTACACGCTTTGCCTCCTTTATCTCCACAGCCATCCTCTGAAATCAGTCCAGTCGCTCAGACCATCTCAAGGAGGGGAACACGGAGCCAGCCTCAAGGCGGGAAGTGCTTTGCTCCAGGTGACAGGGGCAGCGGCCATCAGAGCTCAGCAGCTGCTTCAGGTGTGTCTGGTGATGGGGAGCCGGGTAGAGGCTGCACGGGTGGTCTCTGGGTCCAGCAGGTGTCCTGGAGGGGTGCCCCTTAGTCCCGGGAGGCCCAGAGGCCCCTCCTGAGATCCAGAGCCCACGTCTGCATGGATCTGCACCCTCGGACACTGGAGCCAGCAGCAGTATCCAGCAGGATCCCTGGAAAATTCTAGGAGCAAGCAGGCCTCACATTGGCTACCCCCCACCCCTTGCCTCGTAGCCTCATGAGTCCCGGGCGGGGGGGCGGGGGAGGCGGGTCTCTGCACACGCCGGCCCTGAGACAGGCTGCTTTTCTTTCCATTTCCTTGCTCGGCAGGTCAAGGCGAGAACCAGAAGCCCTGCGAGGCCCAAAGTTCCAACAAAGCAGAGAGAATAGCGGGACACCCAGGGTGAGACAGGCAGGAGAGCCGTACCTGCTGTGTGGCTCCGGGCAAGTCACACACCCTCTCTGAGCCTGTGTCCCCCTCTGTAAAGCCCAGGGCTTCCAGGACAGGCCTGGACATCACTCCACTCCGTCCCAGAGCCTGTCAGCCCTGCCCAGCTTCCCCCTCCATGCATATTCTAGAAAAATCCAAAATATCTAGAGCAGTAGAACCTTCAGAAACCACTGCCTTGTGGGTAAACTGAGGCACCGGGCCACCACCACCCCCTCGGGGACCACCCAGCACTATTCTTTCTTTTGTATGGGTTGTTCAAAGTCAGGCCCCCATGGACCCTGCTGGGGACCAGGCTCAGAGAGGGGGGAGATGCAGCTCCCCACCCGCTTCATGCCCTCACAATGCCAGCCATGCCTTGACGCCCAGGGTGAGGGGCCTGCCCAGGACAGCAGGACTTAGACCACCCTGTCAGCCCCTCGCCTGACCCACGGGAGG